GTAATAAACAAAGATGTTGAAGTTGCATTGAAGGCATTGGCAAAAAATAAGGCCCAGAAATTGAGGGAATACCAATTGATAAGTATGAACAAAGAGCTACAGCACTGGATGTGCTCACTAATCTATGCAAAGAAATTTGAAAAATAGCAGACCTGGCCAAATGACTGGAATAGAACTAGATGTATTACCATTCCTATAAAAGGTAATCTGACACATAATGTGGACATTATTAAACAATATCATTAATAGCCCATGCACGTAAAATATTGCTGAAGATTATCCGAAACTGGCTAATGCGGTACATCAACAGGGAACCGCCAGAAATTCAAACTAGATTCAGAAAGGTCCATGGCACAAAGAATGGCTTTGCTGATATCAGGTCAGTCTTGGCTGAAAGCAGAGAATACCAGAAACATTTGTTTTTTTATGACTATGGGAGGGATTTGGCTTTGTGAATCATAAATTTTGGCTAACATTGAGAAGGACGGGAACCCAGAACACTTAATTGTGCTCACATGAAGCTCCACCAAGAAACTCTTGTTCATACATAACACAGGAACAATGCATGCTTTAAAATCAGGAAAGTTTTGTTTTGAGTCAGGGATATATATTTTTCTCCATACATATGGAAAATATGCGGAGCAGATATTATGAGAAGCTAGACTATGTGAAGGAGAATGTAGCACTAAGGCAACATCACTTGTTGAAGAAGACATGAAACGCTTGCTGCAAAAGATCAAAGACTGTAGCCTTCAGTATAGATTACATCTCAACATCAGTAAAACAAAAATTCTCACCACTGGACCAGTAGGCAATGTCATGATTAATGGAGAAAAGATTGAAGTTGTCAACTATTTCATCTTACTTGGATCCACAATTAACAACTATGTTAGCAGCAGTCAAGAAATCAAAAAAACATGTTGCACTGTCTGTCAAGAATCTCTTCAAAGTGTCAAAAAGCAAAGACATAAGCTTCATGACTTAAGATGCACTTATCCAAGCCATGATGTTTTCATTTACTTCCTATGCATGTGAAAGTTGGACAGTGAGTTTGCTGGGTACAGGATTCTCAATGGCATTTGTTTTCTTTCAGTTTTGTTCACTCCTATTGCCTTCTTGCTTGCATGGATTGTGCTCAGAAATTAAAACTTAATTTTACTGGCTCTTTGAAGAAAACTCTTCAGTTTTCTTCTTTCAGTATTCTTGTATTTGATTTTGGTAAATTTGTTTGGTAACTCTTGGTGGTTTTCTTTTGGGATCTACCCTGTTTTAGGTTTGTTTGGCCTCTTTAGTGTGTGTTTTTTGATTTTGCTTTTCCATAATGTGGAAAATTTTCTTCTAGTAAATCTTCCACAATTTCTTGATGCTATATATTTTTTTTTCTCTTACTGGTCTGGAATTCCAATCACATGTATATTCCATAATACATGTTTCACACAAAATTCATAGGCTTTCCTAATTTCCTCTAGTGTCAGTGTTGATAGCTTCTAAAAGATTGGTCCTCTTATTCTAGATTACAGTTTGTTTTCTATGACTTTTAATATTAAATTGATTTTAACATGTAATTTTTAGATTCTTCTAGCTTTCTGCATGTTGTTGTTCTGTGCCATCGAATTGCCTGTGACTCATAGTGACTCTGTGTACAGCAGCTCTGAAGTCCACCTTGTCCTGAGCCAGTCACTGATTCTGACGCTCCTACCCCCACATAGAGTCCTTCAGTGCTTAAAATTTTTCTTCCATACTGTGAAAACACTTGATCATCATTCTTATGAATTCCTCCTGAAGAAAATGGCTTTAGCCTTTCTTCCTCTGGGAAATCTATTAACTCTGTTTTGATCACTTTTTTTGGGGGGGGGTTTACAACAATTTAGGGAGTGTGGGTTGTTTAATGTTTCTTTATGGTTTCTGAGACATTGTGGTGATATGGTTAATTGTAGTTTTATTAACCTTTATTCTTATGTGTGTGAGATAGCCAGAGATCTCCAATGGTGTGTAATTCATTATCTGTTAGTGTGTGCATTGCCCTTGGTGGCTAATCGGTGGAGGAATGTGCTATTGCTTACTCTAGTGAGATGTACCCTTGCTTGTCTTGGGGCCCACAGTGAGTATAGTGCAGGAATAGCCCATAGGTGGGGCTGGTGAACTGTTTTCCCATTGCTAATGAAGCTATTTAACCAGTGCACCTGTATGTAGACGGCTAACTGAGTCACTGATATTATAAATTAGAGGCTCTCTGTGAATTAGAGACTATGAATCAGTCTCTGAATCACTGTGCCTATAAGCAATCAGCTAGCTTGTGTGGTGGTGAGTCATGGGGCCACTGATGAGCAGAGTGCTAGGCAGCTGCTAGACTGACGTCCATCGTGCTCACCTGTGGCCACAGGACTTCAAGTGTGTATCACTGGAGGCTCTTGGGCTGTTGTTCAATGCATTGTGTAGGAGGCCTAGTGATTGGTGTGGCCTGGACATTTCACAGGTGTTCCTCAGCAAAGCCAGTCAATGCTGGCTAGTTTCTAGGGTTGTAGGATCATGGTGTTGTGCGGAGGAGAGAGCAACTGTATGATGCGAGCCTGGTATCAGCCATGGTTTGTGTGCTGGAGGACTGCTAACTTTATAGTCAGTTTGACTTGTATTTCCTGTGAACTCTTGTACATTGTTCTGCACAAGCTTTTCCAGCACCAGATCCAAAATAGCACTAACCTGCTCATCATAGGAGGGTTGGGGCTGGAGGTCCAGGGGAATCCTATCCATCCAGATCAGTCAAGTCATGAGCAAGTAGGGGGAGATGAGGTTTTTCCCTTTTTCTCTCCCCCATGCAGGCCAGGATCTTCATAGACCCTGAGCAGAGTCCCAGAAGCTGCTCACATAGGGTTCACAGAACTGCTTCTCACCTACCTCTAGTCTTTCCCCCATTTCCTTCTTCAATCTGTTTTAATTTTGTCTTCAGTAATTTATCTTAATTTTTAAGGTGTCATTATTGTCTGTAACTGCCTTACTTCCTTTGTCTCTTTGATGTCCCTTCAGGAGAACTGGATTTCCCAGTCTCTCATCTCAGAAGTCTGCAAATTTTTGCCTTTCTTGCTTCTAATTCTCATTCTGTATCTTTTTTTTTTTTTTTTAAATATTGGTATACTCACAAAGTTTGTATACTTTGCTTTTCACACCAGATCTTTGACCCCCACCTCCCTTCACCCATCAAATTGTGTGACCCTGTGATTAAGTAACCCCCCTCCCTCCTTGGATCCTCACACTAGTTCTACAGTAATGGTCTTCTGAGTTAGTTCACTTTGTCATTCTATATCATTTTTGTTTGTTTTCATTTTGTTTATTTAAATTTAGTTGACTTTTATATTAGTCACATTTTGTTTCATGATTAAGTGAATTAAATTAGTGAATGAGTTCAGCCGTAACCAGTTCAGTGTCATTGAACTAAGTAGAGATTTAGCCATTCTTACTCATTTGACTTGGCTTGAGTTAGGATGAACTGGATAGATGAGTTACATGGGTCATTCCATATCTTTTAAGATTAATTTATTCTTTTTTCAGCCCATAGTTTATTTAACATTCGTCACCCATATTATAGCTAGAACCTATGAGTTCTGTCTTCAGTTTTTAGAATTTGACTTCACATGTATAGGATGAAATTGTAAAGAGCATGGCTTGGGTCAGGCTTGGGTACCTTAGTCATCAGAGTGGAGTTTTTGCTTTATAGCTTTAAAGAGGTCTAGAACAGGAATATATTTACAGAGACACAGATTGAAAAGACTTTAGCAGAGGTTGGGAGAATTACTCAGTGGTACAGAGTTCATATTTGGGATTATTAAAAAGTTCTGGAAAATGAAAGTGGGAATATACACAACATTGTGGATGTTTTTAATGAATTTAAATTAAAATAGTAAGTTTTATCACAGTCTTGTTTTTACTGTGTTTTGTAGAGTCTTCTTGAGTTTAGCATCATTTCCATACAAATATCCCAGTTGGTTGGAACTGAGGGGTTTTTTATTATATTCACTTTAGCCTATGGTTACCAGTTTTTCCGGAGACATTTTCATCTATCATGCATAAACATCCAGAGCCCAGAGATGTTTCCTTGTCTAATCCACTCTCCATTCTCGCCTTTTGAGGAATTTTGCTCTGTGTGATCATATTTTGAATATCTCAAGTTGACCTCTAGATTCTTTTCTTTCAGCTTTTGCCACCCACCCCTGCTGGTTAGTTTACATGAGTCTGTTTGTTCTATGCTCTTAGCTCTTTTGTTTCTGGGTCCTGAGAAATTACTCTCTATACTTGACTGTGCATTTAAAGACCATTTTCTATATTTTATTCAGCAACTCATCTATTCAAGTTATTTAATCTAACATACTGCCTGAAGCTGAAATGTGTATAAATGTGTATAAAGGATAAATATTTGTAACCTTTTAGCTCAGAGGAAAGATACTTGAAGCATGGTGTTTCTGGAGGTAAACCACTATAATATTTATCCTTATATGCTCACTGACTGGAATACTGGGGGGACAGTCTATAGCATGTTGTATTACTAACCAAAAGACTGCATGTCTTTGGTGGTTCAAAACCATAAGCAGCTTGGAAGGAAACAATCTTGGAAACCCAATGGAGTCTCACTGTGAGTCAGAATATCATGGATATCGTTCATGGTAGTGAATTTTAAACTCACTGTGGAGTCTCTGGGAGGCTTGTCATTCCAGTTGCCCCAGATGCACCTTGGAAGACAGACCTCATGATCTGCTTTAGGTCATAGCCTTGAAAACCCTATAGAGCAGTTCTACTTTACATAGGGTTACCATGAGTTAGAATTTACTCCATGGCAGGTAACAACAAGCCCCACCACAAGTTAATCATATATTTTGACATATTTCTCTGGAATTGACTCATTTTCTCATTATTTGGCTTGACCCTTTGTACTGTTTTTTCAGAAATTTAACATTATGATTTGGTTATATTTTAAAATGTCAGTTATTGTTTGTTTGATTTTCTTACAGCCAGCAAATACTGCAAAATGTTAGTTGAAGAAGAAGGGTTACAACTTCTTTCCGACATCCAGGAACATCAGAGGGCAGACCCCCAAGTGCTGCAGTTTGCAACTTCCATTCTAGATGACTTCAGAATGCATTTCATGAATTACCAGAAACACTCTTTCTGTCAACTGCCCTCAACTTTAGAACCTTCAGAAATGCTTCCCCTTCCTTCATATTTGGATTGCTGTACTGAAAGCCATTGAATGAGACTTGTTCATGTTTGAGTTTGTGATTTTTCATTGACCTTTTATTACTAATTTTCTGTAAACTGTAAAAAGTCGGAATTTATAAGATAAAGCCATGTCCCAAATCAAGTTGGATTAACCCTGAGATACCCTTTTATTAGCAGTTTTTGAAAAATCAGACTGCATTAGAACTGCCAAGCCAATTCTTTTTCTCTTGTCCTGAATGATTTTTTTGACTGGGACTTAGGGGCTTTATACTGTGACATCTGTGTTTGTTAGAGAAAAAAAGAATCTGTGACCCTAGAAGAAAGGAAAGATATAGAAAGATCTTGGTGTTTATGTTATAAAATTTTGAGTTATTATTCTTGAATATATTTTGAAGCCACTGGAAAATAGTTACATGGGTAAAAGATCTGAGAAATACATGTGTAAAAAGTGTTATGAAAAAAAATCAAACCTCTAGAAGGAAGGAAAAACACTTGGGTTGTGTTTTGGGGGAGAGGGGTTGGCATAAAGCAAAATCACTTCAATTTAAGATGTCTGCTGATTGTAAAGTGTGAGTTAATCTGCTTTACCCTCCCTTCCATGGCACAAACAGAACCTTAAAGCACATTTCTATTTAGTAGCAACTCAGTAGTACTACAGGTATATGTCAGTGCCCAAGATTAACCTGGGCATGGGCAATGGCTAGAATGCTTTTAGTTTAGACAGGTCAAGGTGGTAAATCCACCAGTGCTCAGGAAACTCAGCCATTACTCAGGTCTAATTTGAGTGACCCCAAAATTCCAACGTAAAATACTCTGCTCACCCTTTGCCTTGGTTCAAAAGGAGGAGTATTGAGATTAGCATACATGTGTGTATAGCAGCCCTTTTTATTTCTAAGTGTTAGCCTCATCTTGCTTACAGTCACATATTCTAAAACCACCAGCCTGCCTCGCTCCAGTGGCTCCTTCACACTTAGACTCCAATGCTACCTATCCCCTTTATTGAACCTTCCCTTTCTCCATTAGGGTTGATCATTGCCTTTTCAGTACTTCTGAAGGTAGTTTAATGTACCAGTCAATACTGATTTTCAAGATTTACCTGCCACCTGACATTTTACAAAAGGCTTTCACTGTGGTGATGCCCTTTGGGCTTCTCAGCACTACGTGGTTGCTCTGGTGGTGTAGTCAGTGCGTAAGGTGGTGTGCTGCTCACTAAAAGAACATTGCAAGTTAAAAAGAATTTACAATTTATTGAATGAGTTTTGTTTTAATCCTCATAGTAGTTTAATTTTTCAAATGAAGAGTCTGAAGCACAGAGGTTAAATAAACTCGGCCAACTTTACATAGCAACTAATGGTGCAGGGCTTTGAACCTAGTCATCTGGTTCCTGTCCATGCTCAGCCAGTAGTAAGGTTTGCTTTCTCACAACCTCTCACCATTTTGGGGTTACTGAAGAACATTGGTCAGGACATAGGACATGGTGATTCAAAGGCACAGAGGGTCTGTTTTTTTGGTGGTGTTTTTTTAAAAACCACTTTATAGTTTTTTAAAATTTTATTTTTTGTGTTCCATCAAACGGATCTCAGTGGTACAGGAGGAGATTGTCCCTCCTTCTCTAGTAGAGCATCTGGTGGATTCGAACTGCGTGCCTCTGGGATTGCAGTGCAGCTTCTTGCCACCAGGACACCAGAGTTCTCTTGAGATGGTCTGTTTTGATCCTTAATAGATCATTTGAGTAGGGAGAGACAGACAAGCACCAAGTTAGTTTGGATAGTTGGCACTTCCAGTCCCAGACATCATGCCAAACGCTTTAGAGCCAGTCTTGTCCTTTTAAGAAAACTGAAGCCCACAGAGGTGACATGATGAGGGCAGTCCTGCAAATCTCCTTTCTGGTCCTGCCCCTCGGGGCATACATTTAGAAGCTTAAAGAAGAGTTCATTCACCAACAAATTTGGGAGGGCGCTTCTCCCTGAAGGCTGCCATGCCCTCCATTCGGTCCCGGGTTGGGATATTCTGCAACAACACAGAGTTTTTGGGGAGAACAGAATCAGAGGCCAGAAAGACTTGCTAGACCAGCTTATGACTACACCAGGGTCCAGTGTTCCCACGCATGAGCTCTGGTTTTGGTCTCAGTGGCTCATTTGTCTTCTGGGGAAGCCAGGCCAGCCTCCCAAGCATCCCTGCGCTCCCCCATTAGCCTCTGCCTGTAGGCCCCCAGAGTTAACTACTAAAAGCAGTCTGGTCAGAGTCTGCTCAGCAGAAAAGGAAGGTTAAGTTTGGCATAATAACAAATCTCACTTTGAATCTTGTGATGTAGATGATTTGTATTGGGTTTTGCAAGTCCTTGAGTCTTTGAGTGTTCTAGGTATCTGTTAACCTGAAGGTTAGCAATTTTTAATCAAGGAAGACAGGCTAAACAGATGAATCCCATGTTGACAACCCCATGAACAGACACTCAGCTTGCAGGACGTAACCAAGGCCCTGACAGTCTAACTCTTGGGCTCTACAACCACCAAGGGAATGACAGCAGAAGCTGCTCTAACTCCTTGCCAAGGTCTCTGCAATCTCCTATGATTCCCTGCACACTACTTGGAGAACTTGCACCATCACTAGATGGCAGAAACAGTACGGTTCCTTTGGGACCATTCCAGGCTGTTTGTGAGGAGGGGAGGCATAAAGTCAGACTCCACTAGCAGGGATCCAGCGCCCCTCACTCTGACTTTACCACTACTGACAATCATGCATGGACTGGAAGTCACATACCTGGGCATAGCACATCCCTTCAATGGCCATCCCAGAAGCAATGTCAACCTGTAAGAAAAGTAGCACATAGATCAGCCTGACCTTGTCCATCTCCATTTAGAGCCAGCACCATCTTACTGCCAGACCATTCCCCAGTGATTAAGTGGTTCATTCAAAGAATTACTGAGGCAGGCTTTAAGGACAGTCTTTATTAACAGAGAAGGAACCCCATTTCCTAATAGAAAATAGTACTGAGACAAAGGAGGGCTTTTGAGAATACTGCTCTGAGGAGCTGAGTTCTAGAAAAAGTTCCTTTATTCCTACCTGGCTCCCTCACCCCACTGCTCTGCAATAAATTCCTGAGCCCGGTACCTAAGTCTGTCTTGCTTAATGCCTACTCAGTACCAAGCACTGCTGTAGTAGCAGTATATGTGTAAACTCACTTTAATACCATAGATCTTTGTTACACAGCTGATCTAACAGGCACAGAAAGGTGAACTTTGCCTATAGTCTCAACACTGGAAGAGCAAATCTTTGAAGCTAAACAGTCCAGCACCAGAGGCCTTACCCTCCATGTACTGTTGTCTCACCCCTGTTCATTTAAGCTACTTAATTCTACTTAACATGGTTTTCTTCTCTGGAATTCTCATCTTTCCTAAGGCCAAACACTAACCCAGTACTGGCAGTAGAATAGTGGATATGACTATCAGAGGAGGAATTTTTTAAAATTTTTAAAATTTGCATTTCGTTAATAACCACACAGCTATCAAAAGGATAGTCCACTCTTGAGGGTATGTAAGCTAGTAAACATTTATTAGTGGTTTGTGTTCATATCTGCCCCGCTCTGCACCTTGGGGTAGTGACCCTGTTGGGCCCATCTAGGTCTCATGTCTAAATTCAGTATGAGTCAGTTGCCATGAAGTTACAACACTGGCACCAGCAGACCCAAGAACATGGATCTAGCTTCACAGAGGACTAGGTTATTAACACACACTGTATGGCCCAGATAAGTCATTTACCCTTTTTGAAATTAAATTTTCTTCTCCAAGGAAAAGGGCTAGAAAGAAAATGCTAATAATAAAGTATAATTAGCATTTTACATTAATATATTTTCTGTTTCTTTTCCTTGGTGATGCTGTACTTTGGAAAAATCAGCCACTGAAAGTCTGTGGAGAAGAATGCTCACTCAGTACACGGGAACACAATGAGGTTATCCTGTTCAGAGGGATTGAGCTGCACTGAAAACATCGTAAGCCACCCAACCAGCTGGACCCAGGTCCTCCCCTCGAACGCTCTCACCTCCATTCCTCGATCAATGGCAACTTTGCCCAGTCGCACAGCAATGGGGGCCTACAGGAAAGAGATGCTTGGTTGAAAAGAGTCCAAATGAGAGGACACATAGAGCTTGAATATGGGATGTCGTTGGACAGAGGTAGAAGTTTGGATCTATTGTTACGTGGCATGGAGTTGCTTGCAACTCACTGTGACCCTATGTACAAGAGCCCTAAATGCCGTTCTATCCTGTGCCGACCTTGCTGTCTCAAACCCACTCATTCCCACCACTTCACTCAGAGAATCTATCCATCTCGAGGGTCCTCCTCTCCTGCGCCTTCACTCTCCCAAATATGATGTCTCTCTCCAAGGACCAGTCCCTCCTTGCAACATGCCCAAAGTATGTCAGTTGAGGCTTCAGAATCCTTGACTCCAAGGAGCACTCTGACTTCACCCTCTCCAGGACAAACCTGTTTGTTTGCCTAGCAGTCCATGGTATATTCAACACTCTTCTCCAGCACCACAGCTGAAAGGCATTATCTTTCTATCATCCCTATTCACTGTCTAACTCCAATGCATAGCACATAATTGCAAAGACTATAGCCTGGATCAGGTGCACCATAGTCTCCAGTCTGACATTGTTGCTCTTCACAGCTGACTTTCCCAATACAATTAGTCTCCTGATTTCCTAGCTGCTATTACCATGAGTGTTGACTGTGGAACCAAGTAAACTAAAACTGTTAACTATCTCAATCTCTTCACCATCTATACTGATGCTGCCCATTGGCCCAGTGGTGAGAATCTTTGGTTTCTTGGTGTTGAGCTTCAATCCATATTGAAGAGTGCAGTCCTTGACTTTTCTGTAGCAAGAGCTTCAGGTCCTTCTCAGTTTTAGCAAGCAGGGTTGTGTCATCTGCATAATGCAGGTTGTTGATGATTCTTCCACCAATCCTGATGCCACATTCCTCATACAGCCCAGCGTCTCAGATCTACAAGTATGGAGACAAAATACATCCCTGAAGGACCCCCTTCTTGATTTTGAACCATCCAGTGTCTCCCTGCTCTGTTCTGACGACTGCCTCTTGGTCCAAGTATAGGTTTGGTATATCTTTTCAACCTACATGCAGAACAGATTATCCGGGAGGCTGGGCTCTATGAGGAGAAATGTGGGGTCAAGATTGGTGGACGATTTATCAACAATCTGCGTTATGTGGATGACATAACCCTGCTTGCTGAAACTGAAGAGGGCCTGAAGCGCCTGCTGCAGAGTGTCAAGGACTGCAGCCTACAATATGGATTGAGGCTCAATGTCAAGAAGACAAAGATTCTCACCACTGGACCAACTGGCAGCATCAGGATGGATGGTGAAGAGATTGAGATTGTACACAGCTTTAGTTTGCTTGGCTCCATAGTCAACAGTCTTGGTACCAGCAGCCAGGAAATTAAAAGGCGCATTGCAATGGGAAAGTCTGCTGTTAGGGACCTCTCCAAAGTGCTGAAGAGCAATGGTGTCTCTTTGGAGACTAAGGTGCGTCTGATACAGGCCATGGCATTCACAATCACCTGTTATGCATCAGAGAGTTGGAGAATGACCAAGGAGGATAGAAGGAGAATTGATGCCTTTGAGCTGTGGTGCTGGAGAAGAGTATTGAGAATACCATGGACTGCTAGGAAAACAGATTTGTCCTGGAAAGGGTTAAACCGGGTGGCTCCTTGGAGGCAAGGATTCTGAGGCTCCGTCTAACATACTTTAGACATGTTGTGAGGAGAGACCGGTCCTTAGAGAAGGACATCATGCTTGGGAGGTGGAGGGATGGCGCAGGAGGGGAAGGCCCTCTATGAGGTGCATTGATTAGTGACTGGGATAACTGGGATGGGAGTGTCAGAGACAGTGAGATTGGCACAGGACAGAGCAGAGTTTAGGGCCGTTGTACATAGGATTGCTATGAGTTGCAAGCAACTTGACGGCACATAATAACATTAGCACGATCGAGTGTTCTGGGATTCCGATTCTCAGAGTCAGCCATAGCTGCTTGTGATCCACACAGTCAAAAGCCTTTGCATAGTCAGTGAAGCACAGAGAGACATTCTGGTATTCTATGCTTTCTGCCAAGATCCATCTAACATTGCTATAATATCCCTAGTACCATGACCTCTTCTAAATCCAGCCTGCACATCTGGCAGTTCTCTGCTGATATATTGTTCCAAACATTTCTGGATAATTTTCAGCAGAATCTTGCTTGCATGTGATATCAATGATATTGTTCAATAATTTCCACACTCTGTTGGGTCACCTTTCTTTGGAATGGGAACAGATATTGATCTCTTTCAATCAGTTGGCTGTCCTCCAGATTTCCTGGCACACCTTAGCACATCCAGGGCAGAGTGTCTGTTGAAATAATTGGTATGTAATCAACTCCTGGTGCCTTGTTTTTTGCCAATTCTTTCATAGCAACTTGAACTTCCTCCTTCATCACCATAGGCTCTTGCTCATAAGTTATGAAATTCCTCTGTGTCTGCCAATTCCTTCTGATACAGTAGGTTAATAAACAGTCTGCACATAGATGTCTCTTTGGTCTTCCTCAATCTGGATGGGGTGTGGAAGAGGAATGTGTCCTTGATTTTGCATACAGATGAGGACCTTGGGCACTTACATATGAGGTCTAAGAATATTTCTCTTCCCAAGGCATAGTCTTATCCCTTCTGGTAAACAGATATAGAAGCAAGAAAGATTCCATGAGAATAATTCTGTGCTAAGCGAGTCTAGTTTCTGGTAAATAAGTTTTCCCCCAAATCATGAGTGCCTGCATGTAGACTGTTTTTGGATGATTATAAAATAAACGAGCCAGGCCTAGGGGTCTGCAGTTCTTTTCCCAGGTGTGTTTCTTTGCTGCAGTCCTGTCTCCTGTGTGTGTCTCTTTATGTTCATTTCTCCCAGGAAAAAGCATTGCGGATTGCAACAACTCTGTGTACTCCTTCCATATTTTGATACCTACTGGATCATTCAACATTCTACTGAAACTCTTTTTAAGTATTGACGCCCGTGGCTTGAATTTGTTTTTCAACTCCTTCAGCTTAAGAAATGCGGAGCGAGTATGGCCCTTTTGATTTTCTGACTCCAGCTCTCTGCACATTTCATTATAGTGTCTTGTTTTGTCATCCCGAGCTGCCTTTTGAAATTTTCTGTTCAGCTCTTTGATTTCTTGATTTCTTCCTTTAGCTTTGGCTTCTTGGCGTTCTAATGAAATACTCAAGAGTCTCATCTGACATCCATCTTGGTCTTTTCTTCAGCCTTTGTAATGATCTTTTGCATTCTTCATGGACAATTTTCTTTATATCCTCCCAGAGCTCATTTGGTCTACGCTCATTGGTGCTCAAGGCCTCAGACCTGTTCCTGAGATGATTTTAGGCCCTGCTATTCTTGGACTTTTGCTAGTTCTTCTCGCTGGTACATCTCAGCTGATGGCCTT